AGGCTACAATGCTTGATAAGAAATGTACTCATTATCTTGCCCATGTAATTGTAACCCCTCTGTACAGTATTTTCACAATAAAAAAAGAAAAGAAATTGAGGTACCTAAAGGTCAAGCAGTCAGCACTCCAAGGTGGGTGCTCAGACTTCACCTGTTGAGCAGTGAAGACAACACATAGTCTCCACATCACCCCTCCAAGAGTTCCATGATCAAGTAAGGATGTGTCTTCTTCAGGGCTATGTAGAGTTGGTCTCTGCCGTTCTGGTCCCAGGCCCGGCTGAAGCTGAACAGCTTCCGCATTTGGGCTGGACTGGTGGCCTCAGCCCGTACCTGCTCATACTGCTCCTCACTCAGCATCTGTCCATGCAGCAGGTCCAACACTGAGTCCACGGATGTCACTCGGTCCACAAGCTGCTTCCGATGCCTGTCCACAAAGTGTGGGGAGGCCAGGCCACCTGAGGCTGAAGGTGAAGCTGGGGATAAGCAAAGAAAGTCTCCCTCGTTAGCTACTTGTGATTCCCACTTCCCTCATGCCAGAACCCAGCCTGGCATTCTGCCTCATCAGGAGGAAGGAGGGGTTCATGATGGGGACTTGAGGTTGTGAGTGGGGAATGCTAGAACCGTCATGGACAGAAGCAATAGCAATGGGGTAGAACTCTGCCCACCCCCAGCATGTACCTCTCCAGCCCATCCCTGGAAGGCTGGTGATAAGTGGAGCCCCTTTCTGCCCTCTTCTCTCCCTTCTAGGACTTTATGCTGCACCAGCAAAACCACTGGCTCCTGTGTCCTCTGAGATCTGTTACTGACCTTTGGGGGCTGGAAGTACTGGGGTAGCTGGTGATCTGAAATCTCCTGGAAGGAAAGATAGATGAAGAAACTTGTATAAATTTGTCAGTTACAGACACACATGATACACCTTGAAACTCCCAGTCACCTCTGAGATGCAAGCTTCAGACCAATTCTGATAGAATTGTGTGAGTGAGGGCTGGAAGGACCCTGAAATATCATGTAGGCAGATTGCTTCCTAGTGAATATGAGAACCTGAGCATTTGAGGCTGTCATCATACACTAAAAAAGAGAGAAGAAAAGGTAGATGAGTGATCAACGGAAATGTTTCCCATATCATCTCAGATTGATTTTATCTTACTTTAGACTGAACAGGTAGAGAACAAGTTAATTTTCTTGCTGGATGTTCCAAACTATTTGGTTTCTTCTTATGAAGAGAAATCTATTTTCTTGTCCTTATTTGGTCTTCTATACTCACATTCCAAATCTGTATGTCTCCAATTTTATTTCAGAGGCAAGAAAAAGTACACTTAGCAAATGGCAATAGTGAAAGAATTTTAATATAAAATATATTGTTTAAAAAGCAACAGAAACAACCAATATTAGGGGGGCTACACAACTGCAGAGGATAGCCTAGTGGAGGTTGGAGCTACCCTGTGTACAAGCCCTGAGAGTTTGAACATGCTGTAAATTCAGTGTGATCTAATAGTGCAGGGAGGTGGCCCCAAATTGTGGTCCCAGGAGTCCTGAATCCAACATGATGTGAGGAGGAGATGGCCCTCATATCACTGCTCACTGAACAAACTTGGTTCACCACTTGGATTTATATAGAAAATGCAGCATCTAATGTTAAGGTGATTAGGTGGCGAAGAAATTTAAAAGAAAAACATAGGAGGAAGTGAAGATGCTTGACATATAGAAAGACACAAGGGAGGCCAGGGTCCCTGTTGTCTAGTATTAGTACGCTTCCCCATGAGGAAGACATTGATTTTGGTGATAGAATGAATAGATAGAATGAAAACTGATAGAAGAAAGAGGTTGGTTGGAATAAGGAAAAAAGGAACACTATTGCCCATATTTATTAAGGAAAGGTGTATGAGGCATGTACAAACATTTTATTTAATTCTTCTAAAAATCGTAGCATTAGTTGCTATGATTTTGATTTTACAGATGAGGAGTGTGAGACTCAACTGAGCTCAGTAACTTTGCTAACATCATGTGGTGAGTAAGTACTAGGAGTGGGGCTCAAACTCCTCTGGTGCTTGCTAGTTCTCTCTCCAATTGTGTGTGACCCAACCCAGGGCTGGGCAAAGCCTGTGCTCCTTTCACCACATGGTGCGGCCTATGTGCTGCAGGATCTGCTCAGGATTTGCCACCACTCCTGTTTGACAGCTGACAGGCTGGTGGTCTGGAGAAGTAGGAAGTAAGCATTTTAGTATTGTAGGTTTCATGCTAGACTAACAGACTGTAAATCTTCCATCATCCTAAAAGCTCATTTTTGGATTTCCTGTTGACAATACTTCCTGATCCAGAAGTGAGAATCTGATGTTGGTAAACTAGCTTAACCACAAACCACAAAACCACCTAGTGCCGACTCTTTTATTGCACAGCCTCGCCTCTATGAGAAATTGTGCCAAAGATCTTGTGGGTGTCAGTGGCATCTTCAAGAGCAAGGTAGAGACATCAGGGGGCAAAAGAGAGATGATGTAGCTTAGACACAGACTGACGTGAGTTTAAATTCTGATCATCTATGATATATCTGTTCCATACATTCAAAAAGCCCAACAACTTTTCTGGATTCTTTCTTTTCATCAGCAAAATATGATAATGCACATCGAACCCCTATCCTTCCAACTCATTAACTCTGTGTCTTCCAACCCTGAACTCTATGGACTTGTTCCAGGTTTACCTGGTTTCAGCAAGGTCTCCCATATTAGAGTCGTATTTTTCTTCTCTTCCATTTTCAGCCTGATTGCTGAGTCCAGCTCTCTAACAGAGATCTCAGAGAAGAGCTGGGATACTCCAGGGCTCCGATAGCACAGCTCCAGTTCCTGAAGAGTGAGAGAGTCACCATGTGAGAAGCTAGTACTCATCCTACCAGGTTCTTTCTCCTTTGCCACCTTCTTGGTGCTGATCAACCTCACAAACACTGCAGTCAGGAGCCATCTTCAGACCACATGTTCTGAATCAGAAGGATGAGGACACAGCTGGACACCACATTGTCCAATCAGGGATCATGTTGAATCATATGCTCACATATCCTAAGGCAGAACTTTCTCTACCATGTTGCAGGAGCCCAATTCTTCCAACTTCCCACTGAATCCATGTTCTCTTGTCTCCACCTCATACCCTCACTCCTAATGTATCCTACCCTCAACTAGTTTACAATAAACCAGAAATTCACATTCATTATCTTTCCTAAGTTACAGTAAAAGCAAATCTCTTGCTTTCCAACAACTCTAAAAGATACCCCTTTCCAGTTTCCTCAAACTCAATAATAGCACAGGCATCTCCTTTGCATTCAACTTTCAAGTCTTAGCATCATCCTTGACATCTTCCCTTTTCTTGTAATAGCAGTTAATTTGCCCTGTGCTATTGCCTCTACCTCCATAATAAGTTTAGACACCTGTTACAAAGCCTCATCATCCTTTAGGGTTGGGTAATTCCTTGTGTTGCAATTCCCCTAAATCTGCCAACTTTCCTGCTTGTCTTTGCTGTCCAGGCAACCCACCATCAGTTTTCATCTGTGATATCACAATGGTGTTTTGAATTTTCCTCTACTTCTACAGCTGTCTATTCATCAACCAGACTCCAGACACTCAAGGCATCTTTGTTTTTCTGGCACTGGATTTTGTTATGTTGCTAAGACTAGCCTCAGCCTCCAAGTGCTGAGACTATAAACATGTACCACCATGCTTGTCTAGCTTGGTGCATCATTAAGAAAGTACTGTGCTTGAATTTGGTACCATGGGTATTGTGTATATATGTTCAGCAGAACTAAGGAAGGGAAGGGAAACAGCAAAATTGTGAGAAAAAGGATAAAGGGGAACAGTATTACTCACAAGACAATACATTGGAAATGATCTGTATAACTTGTGGGGGGTGGGGAGAAGAAAAAAGGGAGAATGAGGGGTTAACATTAGGCAAAAAATGTAATCACTATCTTACTGTAACCCCTCTGTACATCACCTTGGCAATAAATTTTTTTTAAATAAAGAAAGTCTTGTTTGATCATGTTTACTACCTTGTTAAGGACTTAACATTGCATTTAGTACAAAATACAAATTGCACACAAGGACCAATGAGCCCTGTGAGCTCTTCTTTGAACTCCATCTTTGATGCATGTACTACTCTCTTCCACACTAACACCTTTCATTTCTTTATTACTGATAAGTTCAAACTTGCTCTGCTAGTTGTGCTTTTGAATAAATCTTTTCATTCTGAGAGGCTCCACTATAAATCACCGAGTGGACAAATGGGATTTTTTTAATCATTTCAGTCTCAATTCAAGTGATATCTCAGAGGTGCATTCCCTTACCACCCTGACTATGTTACTCAATTCACTGCCTCCATGTTCTACTTCACATCATTAGGTGTTACTGTGCTTCATCAGGAAACATAACACATAGATACATGAACTCATATCCCTCAGAGGCTGCAGCCTTTGGAAGTGGACAGCTTCTGCCTGATATGTTGGGTTAGACTGGTTTTCTGATACTTCAACATCCTTTTTTATCTTTTATTCTACTCCTGACCCTTGCCTTTTGTTTATCTTTTTGCAGTTTCTGTGGTTTATTTAAGCACAAATAAAGGTGTATGTGAGCTATCTATTCATTTTCTTCACTGTGCAGCCTGGCATTGGAATTGGTGGCTCTGATGGCCAGCTGGGCTGCTCTTTCCATGATGGCTTTTTGGTTCTTGGGCAATCTCAGTGCACTAAGACTCATTGCACATGAGCAGCCCTTCAAGATCCTTGAAGTTGTGGACCAGGAACTTCCGGTATCCACTGGGCAGCATGTGCTTTGTTTTCTTGTTGCTCCCATAACCAATATTGGGCATCAAGATGTGGCCCTTGAATCTCCTCCGCAACCTGTTGTCAATGCCCCTGGGCTTCTACCAGTTACGCTTAATCTTGAGTGGTGATGGATGAACTTCTTGGTCCTCTTTGTGATGATCTTGGACCTCACCTGAGGTCTGAGGGTGTCCATGATGTCTCGAGCAGGAGGAGAGGGCATCCACCTCCATACACAGCACCGAGGAAGAGGCTTTTTATGTATCTTTTTCACTCTTAAAAATGTGTAGGGGCTGGGAAGGTGGCTCAGTGGTAGAGTGTTTGCCTTGCATGCATGAGGCCCTGGGTTCGATTCCTCAGTACCACATAAGCAAAAACCCGGAAGTGGCGCTGTGGCTCAAGTGTTAGAGCGCTAGCCTTGAGCTGAAGAGCTGAGGGACAGCGCCCAGGCCTAGAGTTCAGGCCCACGACTGAACCCAAAAAAAAATATGTATATGGGCAGGGCACAAGTGGCTCACCCCTTTAATAGTAACAATTCAGTAGGCTGAGATCTGAGGATCATGATTTGAAGGAAGCCTGGGCAGAAAAGTATATGAGAGCCTTATCTCCAATTAACAATCAAAAAATTGGAAGTGGAGCTGTGCTTTGAGCAAAAATTGCTTAGGGACAGCACATAAACCCTGATTTCAAGCCCCAGGATCAGTACCATCATAAAACAACAACAAAAAATAAAACAAAACATAAAAACAAGTAGTGTGCTTCTTTTTGTGATTTCAAGAAGAACAAAATTCTGTTGTCATTCCCAGACTATAGCTGCTGCTCTGAAGCTAGCTGACCATCAGGTCTGTCATCCTCCATCTTACCATAAAGAAAAACTCTAACAGCTATTCTTGGGAAGATTTTCACTAGAGTCAATACTTGCTGTACTTTCATTTGTTGCAAATGGGATAGTTTATGACTGGTATGAAAAAAATGGTGGTGGCATTGTTTTCTTTAATGGACCCAGTTGATTTGGAATATGTTTTTATTGATAGAGTTTTATGATCTGGGTCCTTGGCTTCAAGACTTCTTGCGAGTTACAAGACTAACAGCCCTGTTGGTTTGCCCATTGCCTGTGATATAGTTGTGTGAAGCGTCCTGTCTCGAGTCTCAGATGCTGCTGCTCAGCTTCTGTCATGTCCCACTCATCTGGCCCTGGTTCATCTATACACTGTGCCATGATGCTTATCTGATTCTGAGCAGCAAACCCAGACAGTGCTGAAAATATAGAAATCCTAGATTCAAGCCTAGTGGTCCACTCTCCTCAGCCTTTGGTCAAAGAGTGTGTGTATGTGAGAGATACGGAAAAGAATAAGAAAAAGGCATTCATTTGAGCCACACACTTTCATTTCAGTGTCAGTAAGGCTGATCTGAGCCCGCTACTCAACCTGTCCTGAAGGATGGTCATAGGACATCCACTCTACAGGCCTAGGAAACAGGCATAAGATACAGACATCACACCCTCAAATCGTGCTCTAAGTAGTGACTGTTGCCACATTGACAACTTTCTGTTTGTGTCAATGTACTCTTCTAAGAGGTCAAAATTGTGGAGATTTTCTAATATGGAGTTGTCCTACTTTCTGAAAATGCACAACCTAGAGTTCAGCTCTTTCCTTACACTTAAACTCACCCAACAAAAGACAAAATCCTACAATTCCTACTTTTTTAAACATTGTTTAACTGAGAAACCCCAAATCCCTGTGTATGTTTCCTCTTCTGTAACAAATAATATACCAGGTGGGTTCAACTACAGATGTGCTCACGGTACATTCTCATTGTCAGGCATTACCAACTGCTAGCCCAGACACTGCCAGTGCCCCCAAGCAAATTCTTCTTCCAAATCTTGAAGGTGATTAATTTTCCTGTGAACCATTTTCCTCCTATTTTTGTAGCATTCAACTCAACACCCTCCTCACATTTTGTCCTACCTTACTTCCTCCGAACAGGCCCTGGAAAGGCCTGAGATTTTCGTACAACTTTTTTCAGGCACACCATGATCCTAGCAAGGGACAGATGCCTGGCTGCTCACCTGGGGGATGATATCCATCTTCCCAGATCCAGATACAACATAGCGAGAACCCAGGTACAAGGCATCCAGTGGGGGTGGCTTGTGTATTCTTACAAATTGAAACTTTTCTTCTTCTTCATCTATGGCCTAAGAAGTGTACAGAATAATGATTTAGGGAGATTTCTGCCCCACAGCTTCTAGTTTGAAGGAGGAGAGAGAGAGCAAGCACATCAGTGCATTAGTACATTCATGTGGGTAAAGAATGGCTATCACATCTCTGTACCCTCATTCCCCTTCTTCCATAATTTGACAATTGGAGAGACCACCCTTGGCCTCTGCCATGTTAGTTGGGAATAGAGTCACTGACAGAAGGAGGAAGAGGATGGAAAAGGTACAATCTGGGGCATGGAGCTTTCTTGTTCATTTTGTCCTGGAAAGATGCCACAACAAGTAACCAAGAGATCAATGATGGAGCAGGGAACACAGCTGGGAAAACCCTTGTGTGAGGGGCATGGACCATGACTAAGCAAAAAACAGGACTGGTCACCCTTGTGCAGGTTCCTGCTTGGGAGAGAGAATCCCACCCTCCTTCCCAGGTGAGAGCTGCAGGATTTTGCTGTGTTTCCTGTTTCCTGTGCGCCCACCCTGCCCCGCTCCTCCTGGTTGTCAGTGTCACCTTCTGAATGCTGCAGTCACAGGGGACCAGGTAGAGGTGCAAGGTGACTTCATCAGGACTCAGGTAGTAGTACAGCAATGTGGTGCAGATGATGGGGATGAAGTGCCGGGCGCCAGGAATCATCCTCAGTAGAACTCCTATTGGTGAGAAGCTGGGATTCTCCAGGACTGCACAATGTGCCTCCACCCTGGCTGGCTTCTCCAGCAGCATGCCCTCCTCTTTAAAGTGGGCCACGTTGAACTGAGAGATGTCCACATGCTCACCTGTCAGAAAACAGATTTGAGAGTTGTGCACTTCAGGTCCCATCAGGCTTGGCAGGGACAGGAGGATCCCAGGGTTTAGGATCAGAGATCTTCCCTTGGACCCAGTGTATAGTCTGAATGACTGAGTCCTAAAATTTCCATGTGGAAATCCCAACCCTTCACCCCCCACCACCATTATGCTGGGGTTAGGCAAGAGCTTTGAGGGGTGATCAGGACATGGAGATGTTAGTGAATGGTATGCATGGCCATATGAAATAGTTCCTAGGAAATTCCCTGTGAAGGTGCAGCTGGTTGACAGCACCTGTCCTTAAGAGAATGCTTACCAGATACCGATTCTACAGAAATGACCATCTTGGATCTCAACCTTCAACAATTTGATAAATCCATATGGTATTAATAGTGTTATCTAGGGGCTGGGAATAGGACTTAGTGGTAGAGTGCTTGCCTAGTATGCATGAATGAAGCCTTTTATTGGATTCCTCAGTATCACATAAACAGAAAAATCCAGAAGTGGTTCTGTGGCTCAAATGGTAGAGTGCTAGCTTTGAGAACAGAGAGGCTCAGGAACAGTGCCCAGCCCCAGGACTGGCAAAAATATAGTGTTGCCTAGGATATGCTATTTTCTTATAGCAGCCTATAGAGACTATGGTAGGGAAGGAAGAATGGCCTCAGATGCTGTGGACCATCTGGTCTCTGGAGTGGGACTTTCACAGACACCTTAGGCCTTGAGTCAAACTCATAGATAAGACAGTCCCAGGCCCTGGACAGTTGCAAACAAGTTTGCATGTGTGATAAACAATAGCAATATTTGATCATTCGTGGACTTTTTGGCCTCAATTAGACCTTGCCACAGATTGGCTGATTTTTCCTGGAAAATAAGCTGCATATACCATATTTCTGGGATAGGCAAACACCTAGATATGCGTTTAAATTCCAATGATCCCTGGATTTGATGTTATAATACAGAAATAATGTGATAAATATTTTAATGATAGAAAGCTCTTGTTCTCTAAACAGCACCTACACATTTGCTTTAAGGTGTTTCTTCATAAAAAGCTCTTTGAGAACAGAAACTCTGTGTGAAGCACTTTGTCAATTACTCTTTTTAAAATTCATCACCTGCTAGAAATCGATGCTGTTGCTTTATGTGGTCAATGAGCATTAGCTTCACTCGTATGTGACTCAGGGTCTTTGCTTATTATTCTACCTTGCACTTCAGAGTTCATGTTCCATTTTTCTCTAGGTACATATTTAAGACTTTTGTTCAGGAAGTGTTTGTTTTTGGTAATCTCTCTGCTTTTAATTTCTTGTAAAGATCTTTTTAAACTCAAAATAACTATATTTTTGCAATTCACAGTTATTGATGAACAGTTATTTCTCAGGACCATGAAGACATCTTTCCACTGTCCTCTGCCTTCCACTGTTGCTGCTCAGGAGTCAGTCAACATATCTCTCTAGGTAAGCTTTCCTTCTGTAGGCAGTAACCTTTGCTAAAGACTTGGGATTGACTTCACAAATAAAATAAAATTTTAAAAAAAAAGACTTGGGATTGACAAGTTTTGCTATAATGTTGATTTGTTTCTGTCCCTTTGTTTTTTCTTTTCTTCTTTGCACTTTTTTAAGTTCTCACCCTGAGAAGTCTTACATTTCACAGTAATATCACAGTAATTCTCTTGGTAATTTTCTCTTTTATTATTGCATCATTTCTATTCTCTCAAGGATACTGTTCTGGAATTCCAGTTATTTCTACAGTAGTTTTCATCATGGTATCCTCCAAAGTATGTAATATTTAAAAATGTTTTCTGTCAATCTCATCTGTTCCAATGTTATCATTTGTACCATTTCTTGCTTCAGTTCATATTTTACCACTTTTTAAGTGTATTTTGGACTGACAATTTCAGAGACTGAAGTTTTAATGGGCTGGTTTGTATGACACAGCTTTCTGCTGGCTTTCATTTCTGGTATACTGGGGTTTTTTGTGATATTTATTTTTTTCCCAGACATTGTCTTGATATGTATCTCAGGCTGGAACTTGTGATCTTTCTGCTTGAGCCTCTTGCATGCTGGCATGCTGGTTGTGAGCCATTGCACCCAACTTTCTCTGTGAGGATTGGAATTGTGAACTATTTTGACCATTGTCCTTTCTGAGCCATTTTTGTGTGACTCCAGATCTCAAGTGTAATCGGGAAACATTATGTCTTCTCCCTGCCTGACAGGTGGTGATACTTTCTCGTTGATGATTGACTCTGGGTACTAAATATTTGTAATAATTTCCTTTGCCTTTATTTTTTACACAGATATGTATTAGAAAATCTTTTTAAATGGAGGAACTGAGAGTATCCTATGTTTCCTGATGGGACTGAATAAATTTCAACTAATTATCGCTGAGGACTTGGCTTTATATTTGGGAAACTACAAGGTAAGTCTAGGCAGAAATAACTGTATGGCTTGGAGACATATGCTTCCAATTATGTTTAGGGAGGTGGGGGATGAGGAATGGTCTCCATCTCCACTTCCATACCCTCTCCACCTTGCTAGCAAATTCAGGGTTGCTCATCCTCTTTCCTCACACTCTATACTATGCTATATAACTTTTCTGGGCCCTTCTCCTACCAATATCCTCCTATATTTCCATTCTTTACCTTGGAGGTTCACAAAGTGAGGGAGGTGCACAGCAGCTACAGTTCCTTGCTCAGCCCTGATACCAAACAGAGGCCCTGCTATCATCCAGGTGTGCTGCAGACAAGTCTTGTCCAGGCAAGTGTCCCAGGAACAGAATTCAATGGTGACTGTCACGGCCCTGCTCACCACAAAGCCCAGACCCATGTTGGGACAGTGGTAGAAGCCGGCCACAGGGAAGTGAACACTGTAAAGAGGGAGAGGCAGACATCAAATTACACAAATCCACCAAGCCCCTTCTGGATGCCAAACACAGTAAAGCAGCTGTGGGTAGTCCAGAATACCTAACCCTATTCCACCCAAGGTCACAGGTTTAGTCCTGGCTCCTCTGCTCTCTGAGGAAGTCATTTAGCTTCCCTGATCTCAGTTTCCTCATCTATAAGTGGTAGTCACCATACCTTACAGAGCTGGGAGTTATGAGTAATGTAATGTAAATCAATAGATCTTCACATGCATGGGAGCAG